ATATATATTATTGTTTATTAAGTTTTTTTATGATAAGTTGGGAGGCAGCGAAGTTGTTCGAAAGACTCCTCTGACCTGAGTTAGGGATCGGAGGGATAACACAAATGAGGAGCAATATTTTCAAATAATACTCTTTTTTTTTTAAATAAATTATTGATTATTATTATTATTGTTATTATTTGAGTTCTCGGTATACTTGATTCTAGCTTGATCTGAAAAGACTTTTTTACTAACAAATTTTTGTTAGAACATTTTTTGATAATTTTAGCCCAAATTAATTAAATTACATAAATAATAATATATGATGATGTGTTATTAATTATTATTATTTTTTAAGTTATTCAAGCTAAATTTTTAAATTGCTCGATTTGAGCTGAGCACCAACATGGTGTTCACGAATCATTCCGAACAAATAAATTTCAAACGGGCTTAACATAAACAAACATTGGTCTTGCTCAAACTCGACTCATTTACACCCCCTAATTGATCCCTCGATATGTCGAGTTTTTGCAAATACTCTTGCATTAAAATGCAATTATTAAATATGACATGTGAAATATAAAATCTTCAAATCATTGAATTATAGTGAGAAGAAACCAAAAATATTGAATAGACTTTTTGGGATCATCAAAAATCTCATCTGATCAAGCATTTTTTTCTAACTCAAAATAGGAATTTTAAAATAATTAAAAATATAAGAGGTGTACCGAATAAATATTCTTCATTAAAAAATAAATTCATATATTTTTAATTAAGAAAAAAACATTTTTATTCAGTATTCTTATTTTCACGATTTCTCTTTCTATTGTTTATGATATTGTTAGGTATGACTCATATACCATATAAGGGACAGATGTTGGAAAGAAGCGGAAGAATCTGTCCAATTGGGGGAGTTTTAGTTACGTGGGTTAGGGGTGCCCCGCGGTACGGTAAATGTATAGTTTTGTAATTATATATTTTACTTCAGGGTTATATATATGTATGTTTGTAACTTTAGGGTTTATTCTGTATTTTGTAATATTTTTTGGAGTTGAAATAAAGCTGTCGCTCTGCTCTCGATGACGTAGGCATCTTTGCCGAACCTCGTTAATTTTTTGTGTTATTCTTCTGGATTTGTGCCGATTCTTATTTTTCTTTGCCCTAATTTCTCAAAAGATATGCATTAAAAAAAATGTTACGGTACCGTTTGGTTCGCGCGTTTCGCCAGCTTATTCGAAACTGCGTTTGGGTTTTTACACTAAACGCGGGCCGCGGGTCGACCCCTGCGGCCGGCCCGCAGTCTGCGTTTCAGGATAAGCAGCTTATCCTGAAACGCACAAGCTGCCTCAAACGCACCCTCTGAGTTGAGCTCTAGTTTCATTAATTAATCAAGTTCATACCGAACTCGAGCTTGATTCTACAAGGTCTAGCCGACTCACGAGCGGGCTTGTTTAATATGAAAGACAGAAAAAATATAAATTTTACTTAGCATTTTACCGAAATGACAAATAAATGAATATTTAGGTGTTAATTAATAAGAAATTTCTTGATATAAAATATAAAACAATATTTTTTTTTAACTTTTTTAATAACTTAAAGAGAGATTTTTTATTTTTAATGTAATTTAAATATATTTTTAATTAATTCTTTATTAAATGAGCCTGCTAACAAGCTAATAAGTCAAGTTGAGGCTAGTTCGAACTTGACTTATTAGCTCATTGAACTCAATTCACAAGTCAATTGTCAAGTCATACTCGAGCCAGCTCCTGAGTTGGCTTGTCTCACATACAACCCAAAGTAACATACTACAATGTATCTCAAATTTAAAAATCAAAGTTAAGCATCACTTTACCATTCAAAATATTTATATTAAAATTTCCATAAAAAAATGTATTTTTATCAAAATATTATAAGATAAATGACCGAAATAAAGCTTATTAAAAACTAGCGATAACTTCATTTAAACTAAATCTCACATGCACGTTAATAATCCATAATTAACCGTATACCAACCACCATCCTTTCACCTAATCATTCATATTAACATCTCCTTCATTAAACTCCTACTAAGAGAGATTGAGACAAGCAATGATTTGCTTCCAAACACAACAAAAAATAAAAATAAAAATAAAACCTTGAGAAAGCTTGGTAGGTTGGCTGGCATAAAAATATAAAAAAATAAAAAATAAAACCTTGAGAAAGCTTGGTAGGTTGGCTGGCATTCCAATCTTAAAGAAAAGAAAGCCTTTTTGAAAGCAATGGTCTAGTCCAATCCTAACCCTCAAATAGCCCCACCCCCTCTTCTTCTTCTTCCTCATCAATTTCTCTCTCTCTCTCCCTACAATGAGGTCCATCAATGGCACTCATCTAACCCTAATCACAGCCATGGTTGTCGCCTTCCTCTCGCTCAAAGGCCGCCTCTCTTGTCTAATGCACACTTCATTAATGATGCATTCTTTAATACCGTCAAGCATAGAATATTGCTCTCACCATCATCATAACAACATACCGAAGGTTAATATTTGTGATGATTTTGCTAAAAACATCTTACCGCCGGCGACGAATGTATCGTTGACGCTCTGCGTCGATCGCAACGGGTGTTGTAACTTCACCTCAGTTCAATCCGCTGTCGACACCATCGGTGACTCGAGCCAGATCATGAGAACCGTCATTTGGATTAATAAGGGCATATACTAGTAAGTTTAAATATTAGATCTTTTTTTAACCTTGCATGCATGAATAAGAAACTAAAGGTAGATTCTTTAATTTAAGATGCATTGAGTCTGTGCTCTTGTAAATGGGTAGTATAATGTTAGGAATTGTGGGTCAAATGGGATCAAATTTGACATACATAATTCCTTATAAATATTGTTTTATATTATTTATTCTATTTTTTAATATTTTATCAACTTCTATAACATAGAATTTATATCAAATTATTACGTGAGATAATGATTGCACGTCCGGACGATGATCCAAATGAGCTGCCTAGTGATCTACCGCAACGTGAGCGCATCCGGACCGTCGTCTCGCCAAACATATAATATATATTTTTTTTTCCATTTTAGAGGCTCATTAACATAAATCTCAAGGCATAACAGAGCCGTGACGACGACCAAATAGAAATTACGTACAAGTTTATATAAGAAATTCGTCAAGTAATCGTTGTTCGGCAAAGTAGAATCTGGGGCATTGGTCGATTTTTATATATTTTATTTTTTGAACTAAGAAGTATGATGAAAGTTATTAAAAACTATATAAGCAATAACATATTCCATCAATGCTTTGACATTTGCGTCCTTACCAACCCAAGTGTCAACCAATAACAGAGATTAACAATGGGTGATGATAAGCCATCTATTATAGAAATTTCAAGCAGAAATATTTTATTTCATGTATGAATTTTGTCCATGCATAAGGGCCACCTACATATCTCGAAAAAATATTACATCAGTACTACGCACGTAGAGTAACGTGCGTAGTCAATGAAATCACGCCACGACCCGCGCCAGAGAAAATAAAAACGGCGCAGTAACACGGGAAATATTCCCCCCGTGTTATTCATGTGTTATTGTGTGTTATTCTTGTGTTATTGTGTTTTGAGAATATTGCTGATGTTATAATAACACAATAAAACATCTATAACATATGAATAACACATGAATAACACACAATAACACATGAATAACACGGGGGAGAGTTTTCCCCCGTGTTACTGGGCCGCTTTTTTTTCTGTCGGGAATATTCTTCGTGTTATTCATGTGTTATTGTGTGTTATTCATATGTTATTGTGGCATGAGAATATTCCACAATAACACATGAATAACACAGAAGAGAATATATCCGTGTTACTGCGCTGTTTTTTTTTTCCTGTCGTGCGGGGTATCGTGGCGTGATTTTATTTGCTACGCACGTTACTTCTATGTGCAACTTCTATGTGCATAGTACTGACGTAATATTTTTTCACATATCTGTTCTCAGATCATAAATATTCACAAAATTCATTGCAATGATTATAAGAATTAAATAAAATATATACTTATTATAATTAAATTAAATATTTATTTCTAATTATATATATATGTATATATATAAATATAAATATTTTAGTGAGAAGGTAATAATCCCAAAAACAAAGACGAACATAACGCTGCAAGGACAAGGCATGGAGTCCACCGCAATAGTGTGGAACGGCACCGCCAATTCCTCCGGCGGAACCTTCTACAGCGCGTCCGCATCTGTGTTCGGAGATAACTTCATTGCGAAGAACATAAGCTTTATGGTAAATACATAATTGATGGAACATCATTGTGCATAAATGCGAAAACTTTGGTGAATTTGATTAAATATGGATTATTTTTTTTTTTGAAAGAATGTTGCACCAATCGCGAAGCCCGGGGATATGGGAGCTCAGGCGGTGGCGATAAGGGTGGCCGGCGACCAGGCGGCGTTCTGGGGTTGCGGGTTCTTTGGAGCTCAGGATACTCTTCATGATGATGCAGGGAGGCATTATTTCAAGGAATGTTACATACAAGGTTCCATTGATTTCATTTTTGGGGATGCAAGGTCACTTTATGAGGTAACAAATGCCTTCTTCATTAACATTAAGTTCCTGAATCATATCCTCATCCGACCAAAGCATTCTGCAACCTTCTCGAAGTGCCATGTGGCATTTAAGACTACAAGCCTCCAATGGTACAAATTTTTCGGTCTAACGTAGAAAATATTTAAAAATATATATATTTATTTTTTTTGCTATGTAAGTATTGTTATTTTGGAAAAAATAGATGTTTTTGGATTAAAAAAAATATATCAAAATAAGAAAAGTAGATATTTTATGTGTGGAAATGGTCGTTGGCGTGGAGATGAGAAGTTTAGGAAAATTTTGCATTAATGCAATATTTTGATTAGGAGTTGGACATATTTTTTAATTTAATTAAAGAGGTTAAAATTTTTATTTATTTATTTATTATATTTATTTTTAATGCGGATTATGCAACTTTTCGTATATATGTTTGATATGTCACCAACAAAATTCATTTGATCGAATGTAAATCTCAATGTATTTTAGAATCTCATAACTCATGGAACTATAATTACAATTTTATCAATATATATATATGTGTGTGTGTGTGTGTGCAGGCGTGCGCGCACGTGTGTGTATGTGTGTGAGCATTTATGTATGCATGCATGTATATATAACTTAGAGGGAATTGTATGTTATAGAGTCAAATTTCCCATCATTACCATCCATTACACAACAAGATTACTTCAACATCCATTTCATTCCTCTTCAAGGGATATTTCCAATCATATTTACTGTTTCTACGGAAAACTTATGATAAATGTCTGAGAATCCCTCACCTTGATGAATCTCTTCAATGAAAGTTTAAGTAATCTTATCGCCTTAATAGAGAGAACAACCTTGAAAAATTAGTCTCGACTTCATATTAGGTAATATAATGTAGCTCAAACTGAGGACTCTGCATTCTTGTGATAAGAAGAGCATTCAATATGTTCTCCTCTGTGTTGAGTGACGTGGTTAGCAACTCTTTCAATCTCTCTCATTTCTTAGAGAGTCCTGAACCATTCTTCGCCATAAATAATAATAATAATAATAATAATAATAATATGAACCATTCTTCGCCACAAATAATAATAATAATAATAATAATAATAAAAATATATTTCTTGAATAGAAAAATAAACATAATAAAATAAATCAGAGCCTAGTCTAAATGAGTTCAAATGAAGCACATGGAGCATAATTAAAAAACTTGAGTTATTAATTTTTAATAAAATAATTTTGGAATATTGCATATTTATAGTCAAATAATGCATCTTAATCAAATGAATCCAACAAGCTTGAGATTATTTAATTTTAACATTATAGAAGTACTAGTACCATTGGTCGAGCAACATCATCAAACCATGATAGCCTAACCATCTTTGTTGGATTATCATCACCCAACCAATACCTTCAGATCATGAACACTCGACAATCGTCATTAGACTACCATTACTTAAAAATAATTGTCAATTTACCTTCGGTCAACCACTTTAATTGGACCATCATCGCATAAACATAGTCATCAGATCGTTCTTGCCTAACAATTACCATCGAACTGCCCTTGTTTCCACCACCGTCATTAATCTATCAGTCATCCTAAGCCATTGGACTATTGTCATTAATCTATGATCATTCATCTACAAATGCCCATCAGTTATTTTTCAACCACAATCATTTGATCACTGTCACCTCATCACCATCGTCTATATATAAACACTTAAAATATTATCATTTGACAAGAGTTACTCGACTATAAATTTTCTTACCACCATTGTATAATTATGGCCACTTAATCGCCACCGATTAATTATGATCTCCCAAACTTCATCCAAAAACTACGACGCCTTAGCCACAATTGTCTGTTAATACACATCATTGATGCATGCCATCAGCTATAAAACAGATGTGTTGCTTCACATTATTGACACCAATACTAACATATGTCAATTCGTCGCTCATTGTTATTTATAAGATTGATGCACGCCATTGATCCACAATATCACTTATAAGATCAATGTGTACCGTTAACATATGTCATCACCTATACGATAGATGCAAGTTATTGATACTAATGATGTCACCAACTAACTTTGTCACCTGTCATTAACAATAATTGTGATACCAGTGATTGTCACTAGAGTTGATGCATACGATATACATGAACGTTATACTAAATTCCTATATCTTCTGATTCATATTCCATAGGAAAGAAGTTCAAATATATCACAAGTAATCTTGAAGATAACTTCAATGCATTAAGTCTCATTCAGCTTCCATTATGAAATCCATCATGTATAATATATGTTTTCTTTGGTACAAAATACTAACAGCTTTTCCACTTATGAGGAAATGCATTATTTCCATCTTGATAAGATGCACCGGGGAAAACATTTCAATTTATTCAAATCATGTGAGTTTTTTGCCCCCATAACTTCCATGTAAAAATGTTGGGGACTTCCTTTTTTTTTTAACATTAATCTCATACTACCACTATAATTTTCTTTATACACAGTAACGATCTTTATACACAATAACGAAAATAAATTTTACTTAGATATCTGACTCAAAATTTTTTACCTAAAAACTTTAGATCATGTGATAGTTTCTTAAACAAAATGCTTAAAGACTTGATTTGGTTTTGTACATCAAAAATATGTTTGCACAAATCTCGAGGAGATCCAACTGACAAAGGACAAAGGGGTGCAACTAAGGAGGGCCCACAGGTAGAATATCAACAGGTTCACTAAAGGAAAACCAAGGGTCCATTAGCAGAAGACTATGGCCCCACAGGCAGAAGACCAAATTAAGGTCCACAGAAGGATGACCAAATGATCGACTTAACTAGATGTAATCCCAAAGGATCTCACATGCACTTTTGAGATTTCTCACCGGAGGCCAAGAACTAGCCATAATATAATCACACGGAGCATCCTAATAGATCGCCTCGTCAAGCAGTGAGCTACTTATCAGATTATAGTGATTCAATATCTGTATGATAGCCTAGCTTTACTAATTTTCCAGCAGGAGTTACTCTCTCAATGATCAATAGTATCCAACCAGTAAAGCAAGTTGATTGAATCAAGTCAAAGACTATCAAATGCCGACTAGTAAACCCCATTTAGCACAGTCAGATGAGTGGGTTTGTCGAACCAAAACTCAATAATTTCAACCAATTGACTTAGGGGCATCCAAGTCGAAGGTCCACACATATAAAATACCTAAAGTGTCCTATAATGCCTCTATTAAATAGGGGAGACATTTCATTTTATATATTGTATCCCCTCCTCTATAAATAAAAAAATCATTTCATGAGAAAAGACTAATCAAGAATTCAAATTACAGTTCATAATTGTTCATTTCCATCTCCCCCCTCTCTCTCATATTTTACGCTCTATCCGTTGGGTGTGATTCACATACAGATTCAAATTCAACATCCTAAAAGATGTGGTGTGCATGCATTGATAATGCCACAGACAAAAAGATGGGCAATTTATGAAGAAGAAACTCAAAACAGAGACACCAACAACATGGAGTGCACCTGAGAGTTTGTAATCCAACAAATTTAGGAGTTTGTGATCCAACAACATGGAGTGCACCAAGTGTGTGATGCCATCTAACAAGCACTGACTTGGGGAACAAAGAACTACCCCTGAGAGAATGGGTCAGGATCGATTGACCAACACTAATATTTTGATAGTGCCGGGTTGGCACCAATCAACAGACAAAACATACCACTGATGGAGTCAGGGTTGATATTTTGACTAACACTTGACTTTTTTAAGAAGATGTTAATATTTTTTTTCTAATTATGCACATAATCCTAGTTCTGACTGACACTAGGAAAACTTGAGGAGTTCATGCAATAGTTCATCCTAGATTTGATTTACACTAGGGGAACTCGGGGAATTCGGGCCGACTTGTCAGTAGTAGTTCATTCAAGCGAGTAAAACTGATAGCGATGCTCAATGTCTGATCGTTTAAATTTTTTTTAAGGTCTGACAATGACGAATTGTCATATAATCAACAAAATTCATTAGAATTGGCCTTCAACTCTCACACATCATAAAAACACGTCTCTTACCTTGGAACAAGTAAGGCTCTTGTTATGATTTCTTAACTGTGAGCGACAAGATCCACAATGGACAGCATATTTACAAGTAAGGCTCTTGTTACGATTTCTTCACTGTGAGCGACAAGATCCACAATAACCAGGCTCTTGTTACGAATTTCCCCAGTGATAAGTCTTTACTATTACTCCTGCAAAAGTTGCAACAAGATCTACTTAATGTGTCTGTCGAAAGGTACGACCCATTCAAGGCGACGACCTGTACGAGCAACAAAAACTAAGTTACAAATAGATTCAAAGCCAATCAAACTCAACAAATTGGCAACACCGACTAAACAAAGATGATCGAACTGGCCTTGCCATTCCAAAGTCCCAAGGAGAGTACTATGGAACCATCAAAACAGAGAGCAAAGGGACATAAAATTGAGGGAATTTGATTATTGAGTCATTAAATATGATCTATTTTTTTACATTAAAATTTACTTATTCGTATCGTAGCTATCACTTTCAATATGTAAAAGAGTTGAAGAATTAAAATATGTACATCAAAAATATGTATGCATGAATCTCATAAAGATCCAACAGACAGACAAACAAAAGGGTACGACTATGGAGGAGCCATAGGCTAAAAATCAAAGGATACATTTGTGGAAGACCAAGGCTACTACCAGAAGACCAAGGCTACTACCAGAAGACCAAGAGTCCACTAGAAAAGGCCAATGGACAACAGATAAAAGACCAAAGGATGTATTTGATGAGATGTAGGCCCCCTAAATTGGGACTAGAAGTCGGTCATACAGGTCATTTGAACCAAGGACTAAATCAAATGAAGCTGAGTGGAGGCATTGACCTACCTCTTGCCACAACCCAACTTAAAGAAAGAGCTCATCATTGCCAGATATCTTACGGGTACTCAAAGAATCACCAATTCAATAAGTGAGTTGTCTATCAGAACACAGTGATTCACCCTTTGTTTAATAACCTATTATTACTCTGCCAATAGGAGTTTCTCACCCACGGATCAATAGTCGGCAATTTGACTAACTAGAATAAACGACCGGTAAAGCCAAGCCGGTCGAGTCAAATATTTCTGACCTAAAAAACATTAAAGGCCGACTGATAACTATAATTCATCGCAATCAGATGAGTAGGTCTTGTTAAAGCAAGACCCGACGATTGCATCCGACCAAGTCAGAGGCATCCAAGTCGAAGGCCCATTCATGTAAGTAGCTAAAATATCCTGTAACATTCCAATTAATGTAGGGACAAACATGTAATTTCATACTTTATTTCCCATTCTCGATAAATAGGAAGATCATTTAATGAGAAATGAACAATCATAAATTAAAATTAAAATTAAAATTATACATCTCTCTCTCCCTCCCTCTTACTCTCATGTCTTAGGCTCTATTCCTTGTGTGTGATGCACATATAGATTCAAGTTCAACATGTTTAGAACCAGTAAGATTTGACGATTCATGGGCAATATAGTACTCAATTTGTCTCATAAATACTCTAGAAATTTTAGAAATTTTTGTTGCTCCCAAGCTAATATTTCATTTTTTTTATTTAGTGATTTTTAAAATTAATATTAAAATTATAAAGTGCATGATTTAATTTTATAATCTTTTAGATACAATAATCTCTTTTAACTAATAAAATATAAACTCTTTCTCAAAATTATAGCCTAAATAAAGAGGGATATGTCTCTACATAAAGTTGGCAACACGCATTTTTGTCACATATAGATTCAAGTTCATCATGTTTAGAACCAGTAAGATTTGACAATACGAATTATATTATTTTAAGAGTGCACTAATTATGAAAAAATAAAAATAAGAATCATATAAATTTGACAATTCATGGGCAATATAATACTCAATTTGTCTCATAAATCCGACAAAAAAAATTCTAGAAATTTTTTTTGCTCCCATGATAATATTTCATTTTTTTTATTTAGTGTTTTTTTTAATTAATATTGAAATTATGAAGTGCATGATTTAATTTTATAATATTTTAGATATAATAATCTCTTTCAACTAATAAAATATAAACTCTTTCTCAAAATTATAGCCTAAATAAAGAGGGATATGTCTCTACATAAAGTTGGCTACACGCATTTTTGAGCTAATTATTTTTCCAATGAGTTTATAAATTAAATACTAGGAAAATTTTTATAAAGGTTGGTTTTGCTATAAAAGCCTTTTCGGCATTATTTTTCTCACTTGTTTTTTTATTTTCATTTTATTATTTAAAAAAATATATATTCAATTGATAATTTTTTTATTTTTTATTTTATTTTTAAAATTAACTCAACTTATTTTAAAAAAAACACTCAAAAAACAAAAAGAAAATAGTTTAAATATTTAAAAAAAAAAACTAACTCAATCAAACATATTTTAATTTAAATTAAAATATAAACACAACAAAATAAAAATAAAAATAAATACCTAATTAGATAATTAAACATTTTTTACAATAAATAAGATATGATTTCATGGCCCTTGATGCTCTAAATTCTTAAAATTATAAAGTTGACAATAATAATGGCTTTATTTATTATACTTGTTCTAACTCTTATTAATGATAACTTAACACAAGTTTAAGTAACTAAATCAAGCTTATAATGAGCTTATGTGAGATTAATACTAACAAAAAGCAAGAAAAACATACCTATGCGTATTTTATCAGACCACTAACCCAATTAAGAACTTGCTAATTCAGAACTGCCAGCTGATTTCCATGGCCTCGCCGGTAACGGCCGGATTGAAGATGATTAACGGCGCCGTGACGGCTCATGGCCGTGTTTCGAAGGATGAGAACACCGGCTTCTCCTTCGTTAACTGCACCATCGGCGGCACGGGCCGGATTTGGCTCGGCCGCGCCTGGCGTCCCCTCGCACCTGCCCTCTTCCCCTTCCCCCCCCTGACTGCCATCCC